GGGCAGAAGAACAACAATAACCAAGCATAAATAAGAGAACACCATATAGAACAACCTCACCCAGGGGGCAACAAAGAGAAAACAGACCCCAAGATAGCATTGGTTTAAGGGTGGAAAGAAGTCAAGTATGATGCACACACACACACATACACACACATGCGCAACACACTAATAAGAAAGGAAGGTAGGAAAATACCCAACACAAAAGGTATAAGATGACATCATAGAGTCTGAAGATGGAGATAATAGCCCTGAATATCAATGGACTGAACTCAGGCATTAAAAGACTTAGGCTTGCATACTGGCTTAGAAAATACTACCCATCAGTCTGATGCCAACAAGAGACACATCTCAAGGCTACAGACAAAAATAGGCTGAGAATTAAAGGCTGAAGAAAGCCATACCAAGCAAACATCAATTCAAAAGCAACAGGGGTTGCCATCCTAATCTCAGAAAAAATTGACCTCAAAGTGCAAACCAAAAGAGAGATAAGGAGGGGTACCATATAATGCTCAAGGGAACGGTAGACAAAGAACAACTAAGCATTGTATATATATATTCCCCAAATGAGAGACCTGCGGAATACATCAACCGAGCACTCCATAAAATGAAAAAATAAATCGCAGCCTCGACATTTATTGTGGGTTACTTCAATGCACTGTTCTCTGAGAAAGATTGTTCACAGATCTAAACACTACAATTACACAATTTTCCCTGATAGTTTTTCATCCAAATACAAAAAAATTCACATTGGCACATGCTGGGGCATAAAGTGAATCTACATAAATTTAAACAGACTGATATCATACATACTTCTCTCTCTCTGACCACTGTGTCATAAGGCTGGAAATCAACAAAAGGAAGACGAAGAAAACATGAGCAAACAATTCGAGGATGAATAACTCTCTATAGCAAATAGAATGCGTACTGGCACAGATCAGAAATGAAATCAGGAAATTTCTAGAAACCAATGAGAATGTGAACACGCCATACCAAAACTTATTGGACACGGCAAAGGCAGTTATCACAGGAAATTTCATAGCAAAACATGCACCTCTGAAAAAGGAAGAGAGACTCATGACGGATGTGCTGGCACAAAATTTACAACATCTAGAGCAGAGTCAGCAGGACAATCCTAATAATAGCAAAAGAAAAGAAATAGTGAAAATCATAGCGGAGATTCAGGAGGGGGAGAATAAGAAAACTATGGAAAAATTAATGCTGCTAAAAGTTGGTTCTTTGAAAGGATAAACAGAATCGACAGACCACTGGCAAGCCTAATCAAAGAAAGGAGGAAACAAATTTCGATAGCAGGAATGAGAGATGAAAGAGAGGACAGTACAACAGATCCTAATGAAATAAAAAGGATATTAAGAAGGATTATACACCTATGAATTCAACAATTTGGAAGACATGGACAAGTTCTTGGAAAAATAGTGCCTCCCTAGACTATCCCCAATGTAGGTCAAGAATATCAACAAGCCCATATCAACAGAAGAAATAGATAAGTTTATCAAAGGATTACCAACAAATAAATCCCCTGGACCAGTTGGCTTAAAAGAGAATTCTACAAGCATTCAGGGAAGAATTAACACCCATCCTACACAAACTCTTCCAGAATATAGAAAAAGATTGCAACCTCCCGAACTCCTTTTATCAAGCTAGTATATCTCTGATACTGAAACCAGGCAAGGATCCCACAAGAATCAAGAACTACAGACCAATATCCATAATGAACATCGATGCAATAATCCTTAGCAAAATACCGGCCAATAGAATACAAAAGCATATAAAACATATAATTCACCATGACCAAGTGGGATTCATACTGGATCAACTGATGAAAGACCATTAGTATCATTTGCTACATTGACATGAAAAACTATAAGAACCATATGATAATATTGATAGATATGGAAAAAGCATTCGACAACCCCCAACACCAATTCCTGTTTAAGACACTTGAGAAGACAGGAATGGAAGGAAAATTCCTCAAGACAATACAAGCTACAAATGAAAAAACATCTAACATGGTAGTTAATGGAGAAAAGACTAACACAATCCCACTGAAAAAGGGGAACAGACAAGGATATTCCTTGTCCCCATTCTTATTTAACATCATACTGGAGGTTTTAGCAAAGAGCATAAGGCAAAGAAAAGGCCTCAAAGGTATTTGCCTGGAGAAGGAAGAGGAGAAACTTTTATTATTTGCAGTTCATATGATTTTGTATATGGAAAATCCCTAAAACTCCACAAGAGGAATACTGGAAGAAATAGAGGAATATGGCAGAGTAGCAGGATACAAGGTCAACAAACACAAGTCCATCAGACTGCTATACACATCAGATAAGACCACAGAAGAGGAAATCGAAAAGATGGTACCCTTCACAATGGCCAACCACAAATTGAAAAATCTAGGGATATATCTTACTAAGGGAACAAAAGAACTATATGAGGAAAATTACAGAACACTATTACAAGAAACCAAGAGTAACCTCAACAAATGGAAGAATATCCCATGCTTGTGGATTAGAAGACTCAATATAGTATAGATGTCAGTTCTTCGCAAGGCACTACATAAGTTTAATGCAATCACAATACATTTACCCTCATGTTTCTTTAATGAAATGGCAAAACTGATTACCAACTTCATATGGAGAGGGAAGAAGCCCAGAATTAGCAGAGAACTCAAGAAAAAGACACATTTGGAGGACTTGGTTTACCTGACTTTAGTACATATTATACAGCCACAGTGGTCAAAACCTCATGTTATTGGTACAATGACAGATACTCAGATCAATAGAAAAGAACTGAAAACCCAGAATAAAATCATCAGCATACAACTGATATTCGATAAGGGCCCAAAAATATCCAATGGGAAACAGATGCCCTCTTCAACAAGTGCTCCTGGAAAAAAATGGATATCTACCTGCAGAAAAATGAAGCAAGACCCTTATCTCACTCCATGCACAAGAATAAACTGAAGTTGGATGACAGATCTCGAGATAAAACCCCAAACTATTAGGGCCATAAATGATGGAATTGGGACCAACCCGAGAACTTTGGCGCAGGGGTTACATAGGCTATCAGAAATAGGGAAGGACACAAATGCAGATGAATCATAAATTGACAAGTGGGATATACTGAAGATAAAACACCTATGTACATCATGAGAATTCACTAAGAGAGTAATACGATAGCCCATGGACTGGGAAAACATTTTTAGTAGTGACGCATCAGACAAAGGCGTTATTATTAAATCTACAATATTATGCTAGCTTCCAAAAAGAAAAAAAAGCAACTAATTGCCCATTGAAGAGGTGGGTAAAGGACCTGAACAGAAGTTTCACAAGGGCAGAAGTCCGAATGGTCAATAAACATAGGAGAAGTGTTCCGGATCATTAGCCATCAGACAAATGCAAATGAATACAACAATGAGATAGCACCTAACACCCTCAAAGATAGCCCAATTCAAAAACTCAGACAGCAACAAGTGTTGGAGGGGCTGTGGTGAGATAGGAACTTTCATCCACAGCTGGTGGACCTGTATATTTGTATAGCCACTATGGATATTGATTTGGCGATATCTTAAGCAGATGGAAATTGAGCCACCATATGACCCAGAAATCCCCCTACTGGCAAGAAACGAACCACAGCCAGATATCTGTACTCCAATGTTCATAATTGGAAGGAATTCAAAACAACCCAAATTTCCATCAACTTAGTAGTGAATTAAAAAAAAACCTGTGGTACATACATATAATGGAGTGCTATGCATCGCTAAAAAGCAGTGATGAACGTATGAAGCACATCGCTGCTCTGGAAGAACTGGAGGAAATTATGCTAAGTGAGGTAAGCCAAGCAGAAAAGGACAAGTACAACATGAGTTCACTGAGGTAAGCTTAAAAAAAGCAAAAGGGGGATAGGGAAAAAGCTACTGTATACAAACATTCCTGGGGTGAGGACCAGGTAGTATGACAGGGGCCAGACCAAATCCAGGGATACATATGGTTGTCAACTCAAAAGGAGGGGTAAAGAAGAGTAAAAAAATGGGTAGTGGGGGAACAGGGCACTAACCTACTCAAGGGGCGGAAATTGTTTATATCTCCACAAGGAAAGAGGGACCAGACTTCAACCCAGTACTCTAAGATATGAATGCAACATGGTGACATGGAGTAGGAAATCAGTGTAGAGGTTTCTGGGGCCGGCCCCAATCCCAACTATGTGGACACCTGTCTCTCCCCCCAGAATAATTTATTTCAGAGGATAGCACTGAAGCTGCAGGTCAGAGAGATGGACATGTCTGATCAGAGCACACAGGAGCAAATGAAGGGGGAGGAAAAGAGAGTGGAGCACATCCTGGCCCACCAAGCCTCGAGGATGATATTCCTGCTCAGAGAAGCCAATCCACAGAGAAGATCATAGGGCTATCCCCACTATGAGACACCACATCCCTCACTGACCGTAGCCCTACAGGGGTCAACACTGGAGACACAGTGTGGGAATTGTGCCTGATCTGATCCCACCACACCAAGGCAAAACACTAAGGGTGTGCAACAGAACAGCAAAGGGAACAGAGCAACGAAGTCCCCAGGGAATACCAAAAATAGACTCTGGGACCAAGGCTTGGCACCCCATCAGACTAGACCGGAAAACACTCCTAAATGCCAATAAGCAGTTCTTGAACTAACTACAGGCTTTTTGTTGTTGTTGTTATTTTTGTCATTGGCTTTTTTTTTTTCCGATTGCATACATTTATTTCACAATGCAGTTTTACACAATGCTAAGAGCGTTTTTCTTCATATTTTACAGGAGAGATTGAAACAATATGGACTTTGAATCAATGGTCATCCCAGAACACAGCCAAATCTAACCTAAATAGAAGCATTACAATTTGTACAAAGTTTAAAGGCTTAATGGCAATAATCAAAGGAGGCAGAGAGTTAGGTTTATGTTACAAAACTGATTTGCAAATACATTCAAAACACAGCAAATAAACTTTAATAAGGCCTCATGTGCCCAGAAGGAGGGGGTGGCTCGTTGGGAGGTGTGATTGCTACGTCCAGATAAATCCCCCATTTGGAACTTCTGTGAGTTGAAGGGTCATGGAATCATTGGTGCCTTTCTTGCCCAATATGGTGCTGCCAATTTCCTTGACTCGACAGCCAGGAATTTTCAGATCTGTAAAAACAATCTCAAAATTGAAGTGCGTGCCCTTCTTTCTAGCTTCTGGGTAAACATCCTTTCCTAAACTTGTCAGTTCCTTCAAAGTTGCATCCATCCAAGTGCAGATCTGCAGCTCGCTGGACAGCACATTTCCCCGAGAGAACTCGTCCATTCGGTGGTGGCAGCTGTTATTGGGAGTGAAGACCGGCAGCAGCAGCAGCAGCCAGATCTTCTCCTGGTCGATTGGCTTCTCTGTTTTCTTCTTAATTTCCTCTTGGGTGACACTCGACTCCACCGCCACCTTCCTCCTCAGGCCCAAGAGATGCTCGCTCTGAACTCTGACCTCCTCCACTGTGAGCATGAGAACCAAGTCTTGTCTTTGGCTTTTTGTTGTTTTTGATGTTTTGTTTTCTTTTGTTGCTTTGTTTTGCTCTGTCTTGTTTTTGTGCATATTATTATATCTGCAGGTCTGTTTAAACAAAATAGGTTGGATGAACAATCTGGAGGAGAATACAATGGGATGGAAGGTTCTGAGGGGATATAGAGAGGGGGAGGCAAGAGAAAGGAAGTGGTGTTAACAAACCCAGGGAGAAGGGAACAACAAGTGATCCATATTGGTGGTGAGGAGGGTGTAGGAGGCCTGGTAGTGTGTGAACAAAGGTAATGTAATCTAGGGGAATTACTGAAACCCAAATGAAGGCTGAGCATGATAGTGGGACAAGAGGAAAGTAAAAGGAAATAGAGGAAAGACCTAGGAGGCAAAGGGCACTTATAGAGGTCTAAATACAGACGTGTACATATGTAAATATATTTATATATGAGGATGGGGAAATAGATCTAAGTGCATATATTTATAGTTTTAGTATTAAGGTAGCAGATGGACTTTGGGCCTCCACTCAAGTACTCCCTCAATGCAACAACACTTTGTTCTTTTAAATTGGCATTACATGATGCTCACCTTCCTGATACGATCACTGAAGACAAATGGGTGCATAAACAAATGTGGTGAAGAAAGCTGATGGTGCCCAGCTATCAAAATATATAGCATCTGGGGTCTTAAAGGCTTGAAGATAAACAAGTGGCCATCTAGCTCAGAAGCAACAAAGCCCACATGGAAGAACACACAAGCCTGTGCGATCACAAGATTTTGAATGGATCAGTTATCAGGCACCAAAGAATAAAAAATAAAATAATTGTGAATGAGGGGGCATGCAGATTGAGGACCAAAGACCTATCTGTAGACAACTGGACATTTTCTTACAGAAGGGCTGTGGGGAGGAGACAAGCCAGTCAGGGTGCAGTGTAGCAGTGATGAAATATACAAGGTTCAAGGTTCATCTATTTCCTAAGTGCTTCCCCTCCCCCCCTCGCCACACACACTATCATGATCCCAATTCTATCTTAAAAATCTGGCTAGACCAGAGGATGTACACTGGTACAGATAGGAACTGGAAACACAGGGAATCCAGGACAGATGATCCCTTCAGGAACAGTGCTGAGAGTGGTGATACCAGCAGGGTGGAGGGAGGGTGGGGTGGAAACTGGGAACTGATTACAAGGATCTACATATAATCTCCTCCCTGCGGGATGGACAACAGAAAAGTGGGTGAAGGGAGTGGGTAAGATATGACAAAATAAAAATAATATATAAAGGGTTCATGGGTTTTCAAGGGTTCATGAGGGAGAGGGAACCAGGAAGGGAGGGGGAAAAATGAGGAGCCGATACCAAGGGCTTAACCAGAAAGCAAATGTTTTGAGAATGATGATGTGCAAATGTGCTTCACACAATGGATGTATATATGGATTGTGATAAGAATTGTACGGGCACTAATGAAATGAATAATAAAAAAAAAGATTCTTCCTCTTTTTTTGCCACTCATATTATAACAAGCATGTTTTTCTTCTCTAGGGACTGGTCCCTCTTGATACCACATTTTAAGTACATGTAATAAAGTCTCACCATCTTCCCTTTGAAAGAGTATTCTCTGCACTTCTTCCAAGATAGATATGTTCATATTTCTCAAAGTTCATAGTATGTTAAGTAGTCTATTATTCTTTCCCTTTACCTTGTTCAAATGCATGGATTTTTCAATATTTATTTATTTTGTGGCTTTCACATACATATGAGGTGATTGAAAATACTATGGGTTGAGTCAGGAACATTGAAGTCTTCAAAATGCCATATTTGCTTTTAACGCTTTAAAGAGGTACTTTGCAACAGATTTTCCAAATACGATGTTTCTTGATTCTATTATTGTTGTGAGATTGTTAAAATTTATTGTGCCAACCTGGCCAATAAACGCATGTGGGGTTAATTGAAGGGCAGAGGGATAAATGGCTCAGTGATCCTCGCCTTTTGAGTTATCAGGATCTTGCTTTGTGATGGTCGGACCAGGGTGCAGATGCCTTAGTCAGTTCCCTGCTTCAGCTGGCAAGGCTCACTTCCTGCAAGACATCCCCATGGAGAAGCCACATGGACCTACCCCAATACAGCCTTGGGTGCTGGAGCAGCCGTGTGGAATCCCCTGCTAGCACTGAGATTCTTACACGTTCACTGACCAGGCTTTTCCCCTGCAATCAGCATCAGTGTGTCTGTTTTGTGAGATGGAGAAGGACTTTGTGAATCGGTGTCGGACATATGGGTTAATGTTGGACTTGTGGCCTTGGGCAGCACTGGCTTGGGATGTTTTCTTGATGTGCACTTACCCTTTATATAAAACTCTCTCTTATACATGAGTTTCTGTGAATTTGTTTCTCTAAAGTACCCAGGCTTACACATATTGCTTCTGTTTACGTTGATTGAGGATCCAGGTAAAAAAAAATCCTTGACAACTTCAAGGTTTTCTCTTTATCATGAAGTTGTTTATTGATTTAGTAATGTGGATTTTTTTCCCTTACTGTTTAGGAACAATCAATTATATATTCATTGGTAAATGCATCAAATTATCTTTATTTTCTGTAAGTAAGGTTGCCTGTCATTTACCTATGGCAGGTTGTTTGTGAGTTTTCTTCCAATGTTGATGCCATATTTTTCTTCATACAGTCAAACTTCTGAGATCATTTGTTCAGCACACACATTGAAGAGATTTAGGAAAAGGATAGCATCCTGATACACACCTTTATGGATATTAAACCACATGATATTCCCCATTTTCTCTTCAAACAGCTGCCTTTTGTCTAAGTACAGGTTTCATATGAGTACAAAAGAATGTTTTGAAATTTCCGTTCTTCACAAAATTAGCCAATGTGAATCATAAATTATGGCTAATCACTCTCTGACTTTATGATTTATCTATATAGCTATGCTGTCAATTAGGTTTGGTTAATATTAAAGAAACAAACAACTTAGATGGTTCTATGTCATAATAATCCCAGCTAAAGAGCCATGAATCTTTTTTTATATATCATCATGATATAATAAGACAAGAAATAACAATAAAAATGTATTGATTTCCTACAATGATGCAAATCTTTGATACTATTTTCAGGATACTTCATTGTGATCATTTGGCAATTTTTGAATTTCCTTTCACATTTTATCAAATAATGATGCTTACTGGATGACAGAATTATTCCAAATTATATTTTTCAGTTTATATCTGTGGAAAAATTGTTGGTAAATTAACTAAGATTCAGAACTCAATGTTTGTTGTAGTTTACTACTGTCACTTTATGTACAGAAAAGCTTCTAACTAATATAGTTATCCCTTGATTAATGTATTATATAGACATAATATTGAATTTATTAAAATTAAAGAACAACTGTCATAATTAATACCCTCTGCAATGCAGTGGAAGAGTCTATATGACTTCTGACTTGAAATTTTCTTACTCTGATCAAGTGACTTTTCCTTGAATAGTCTAGTTAAGAATGTGGATGAAGATATTGATTCCATATATGATACAGTTGTGAATGATTTTTAACAGGGTAAATTGTGAGGACCATCCTGCTGGACATAAAAAGAATGATCACACAAAGAAGAAATGAGATTTCATTATTAGTAAGAGAGAAGAAGGACTGGAGTGTGTTCTTTGGACATTAAGATCCCTATGCATTGAACTTCCTGATCTGGGAGACAGCTTTGACCCCAGAGGAGCAGCAACCCCAAAGCCTGAAGTCAGACCATTATGAAGACTGGTTGACTTTTATAACACAAAGCAAGTAAAGCTGAGTGCTTCTGGGCAGGAGGCTGGCTTATGGAGTGGGCTAACTTTGGCCACTTAACTGAGAGAGCTAGGTTTTGCTGACACCCAGAGATGGAGCTGAGTGCCATAGGGGTGAAGCCTATAGAATTATAGAATGCCCTTTGGACATTTATTAGCAGACATAAAAAAAGCTTTATAACATTGCTCTTGTTTGAGCAGGCCAAAAACCAGGTCACAAGCCTGAGAACCAGAGAGAACTCTGGATTGCCTGTGGGTATAGTGGAAAAGAAAATATCCTCCAAGAACAACTGGATCCTGAGCATTTCTCAGATGAATTGTAAACTACAAATTCCATAATAAACCCATAATCATGAGTATCATGAATGAGTCTTGTGGGACCATAGCAATAAATTATTGAACACAGCTATAGAAATAGAATACTATTGGTGTCAGATTATGGGTAAAAGGAATGCACAGTGGAGGTATGTCTGACCGCTACCTTGTTGGAATCAGTCTTGGGGAGCAGGAAGAGGTCAGATATGACCCCACACCAGTTCCTCATTTCTCATTTTGTTAATTAGAAAGGCTAATAATTGATGTTCTGTATTCCAGTAGAACTATGAGAAGTAAGTGTTAAATAATACTTAAATTATTATTTTAAATTATATATAATTATTTCAACATTTAAATTTTGTATTTTTACACCAAGAAGGATGACAAATAATAACTATTTTGCCCTTTGTTAAAAAAAAAAAGTCAACACTAAAGATTCATCATTTCTATGTCTATTGCTCTCAACTACTGGGTTCAGATAATCAGATATTTTGTAACACACTTTTAGAAATTTCAGTTTACAAAATGATCCCCCTCAGACCTTTATTTCTGATTGAATATTTTATCACCCTCATTAGACTCATTCAATTTCTCTAATGAGTTCTTATAAAAACATTTTGACTAAATTACCTGTATATTTTTGCTTATCATTTTATGTCTGTCATGTGTTTTTCCAGTCTACCTGAGCCCAAGTGACTGCTGTCTCAATTGGAAATGAAATGTACTTCCAAGATAAATGAAGAAGAAACACACACATTCAGAAATGTGACTATAAGGTTTGACATAAGTTAAACTTTTAAGATCCTTATTCAGATTTTCCATTTCTTGACTTTGTTTAACATGTTTAGCACCTATACAAAAGAGTAGAATTTAGTATCGTTT